GTGCTGAGGATGGTCCCTGCACTCACATTGTGCCATACGCAGGCAGACACACAGCTACTGTGACATCACCCAAGCAAGGGCCTGACTTTTGGTAAGTACTAAAAGCAGAAGCTTGCAAGAATCAGAAATAATAGTTTTTCAACCGCACTAGCCTTCGGGGGGGGGGGGGGGGGAGAGTTTACCTGCCGAGTCTCTGCAGCCCCTCTCTATACCAGGCGTGTAAGAAAACGAAAGGAGGAGCTTCACCGGGGAACCTGAGAGAGATTTCTAGGCTGGCTTCAAACTCCTGCAATCCTCCTGTTTCAGAGGGACAAAGATGAACTAACTGCAAAGGTCCTTGCAGGAACTCAATTCTGAAATCTTCTTATCAGGGCCAAATTCGAATTCAACATTTTCTTTGCTGATCTCTTGAACTTTTTTTTTTTTTTTAAACCAAAAGCCTAACTCCCCTTCCCTATCCCTCGCTAACATTCAAAATTATCTCCCAAGCAATTTTAGGTTTTACAAGTGTAAACAGCACTATCAAACTATATCAAATAGGGGGTGGGGTATAGCTCAGGTGCTAGTGTTTGTTCAGCATCTGGAAAGACCTGGGTTCAATCTCTAGAACCTATAACCCATGTGTGGTGGCCCAGGCCTATAATCACAGCATTTGAAAGATCAGAAGGTCAAGATCATCCTAGGTTACTTAGTTCCAGGACAGCCTGGGCTGCACATGACTGTCTCAAACAGCTTAACAAACAGAAAAAAAAAAAAAAAAAAAAAAAAAAAAAAAAAGCACCAAATATCACAAAATGATAAATGTGAGAAGTCATTAAAATCCTGAAGTTAGGCTTGGTGCATGCCTTTAATCTCAGCACCCAGGAGACAGAAGCAGGTACATCTCTGTGATTTGAGGCCAGCCTGGTCCACACAGAGTTCCAGGACATCCAGGGCTACAAAGACAGACCTTGTCTCAAACAAAACAAAACAAAACAAAACAAAAACAAAAAACAAAACAAAACAAAAAAAAAAACACTCCCAAGTTAAACACCATTTGAGCCATTTTTCAGTAATTCTTTACTTATTATTTTTGAGATAGTTTCACTATATAGCTTTGCCTGATCTATAACTCACTATGAACATCAAGATGGCCTTGAACCCAGAGGTCTGTCTAGTCATTGTTTACTTTCCAATTCTTCATTTATTTACTTAATTTGTGAGTGTGTGTGTATGTGTGTGTATGTGTGTGTGTGTGTGTGTGTGTGTGTGTGTGTGTGTGTATACACACATATCATGCATGATGCACGTAAAGGTGAGAGTCATTTCTCTCCTTCTACCATGTTGCTATACTTGATGGCTGGCACTTTTACCCACTGAGCTATCTAGACAATATTACAATCTTTGTACACCCAGAATCTAGTCTGAGTTTTATAACTTAGCAAGAAACTAGTCTGGGAGTAAAGTGAGGCTAAAAGGGTATAAGTCACAAAGCAAGGCAGCAACAAAGATCAATCCACAACACTAGAAAGCCCAGTAGTCTGTTCACTACAGATCTGTATCTTCCTAACCAACCTGTCTTTCTGGATTCTCTGCTATGACTTGGTCTGGAAACAGACTTTATACGTCAGGGTCGAGACTTACTACAGTAGGACTACAACTACTTTGTTAAGGGAGGAGTGGAACTCACCCAAAGAGGATCTAGCACCCCCTGACCCTCAATGTGAGACAATGTCCTTGAGCAGCAAAGAAATCCGGACTTCAGTCAAGTGTTTGTGCATCCTGAAGGCTACAGTTTGGAGGGGACTATAAAAATATGACTTCCTAGCTTTTCTGAAGTGCTGGGGTGATGAAAGCAAGAATATTTGCCTCTAGCTTTCTCACCTGACCTGGCTAAGTGTCAAGAAATTTCCCAAGAGGAAAGCGAATGGTTTTCAAAGGTGTAGCTACTGGCAGCATGGGGTCAACCTCTTTTCCCTTCTAGGTCAATACTGAAGTATTACCCTCAATTTAGACTTCAGACTCTTGAGCACAGCTCTTAAGTGTGTATTCTACACCTGGAAATTGAGATGTGTGACTCATTTTCTCACATATGACCTCATGAGACTCAGGCAGGCCAGCCTCTTAAAATGACACACGGTAGACCCTTCCTCTAATGGGGAATACGCAGGGCTCGTGTATTGCTATCAACTTTTCTATCACTATAATCCCAAATCACAAGACCTAGGACAAGACATACAGACCCATGGTTAGACTATGAAAGGCTCTTTACATCTAGTATTCATACAAGGCCAGGTGGGACAAGTGCAAAGTCTGCAAAGGAAACAGGTCTGTAGGAAAAACAGTAGCTCGCTCTGTGCTCTTCTGTACGGCCAAAAGTGAAAGCACAAGGGAAAAGACCTAATGAAGCCTGGCCTTGGTTGTCCTATGACTGGGCATAGAACACCCTCTTGTTGAGTTTCCAAGGGTTCACAGCGGTGCTCTAGGCTCTTTGACAGCTTTAACGAACCAGGGCTGGGAGGGACATATTTACTTCTGCCTTATATAATGTTATTGCTGTTAGCACCAGCTCTTTCTTTCTTGTATGGGTGCTTGCCCTGTACAATTAGCACCTTATTACAGCCCTAATTACTAACTGGCTCAATTAAGCATTTCATTTGACTGTCTGGTTCATGCACTAGCTCAAGGGCCTGGACACCTCAGCTACAATAAATCCTAAGCTTCTTTTAAGCAAGTGCTTGATTTTTCAGGTCTTTAGGTCCATAGGCATTAGAGCACTTTCTGAATGTTTGGCGCTCTAAGCATGTATATTATACAGTCAACCCTTCCCTTCATTCCATCCAGATCTACCAGATTCTGCTCTCTTCTTAGCTACCTGGAGTTTAGCTTTACTCTGTTTGCATATACATTTTTCCTTTATCTGATGAGGTGGGCTAAAACAGGCACAAGACTTTCAACGTCATATTCCATGTTCCCCTAGAAAGAGGATTCAAGAGGAGTGAGTTCATGCTAGAACATCCTTGCTTTTGAAATTAGCCCCACGGCCTGGGGAATGTAACTCAATGATAGACAAACATGGGCTTTTTGCGTTAGGTCCCCTGATGGATGACACAGAGATTGTGAGGGGCTATAGAAGGTGACACTTAGGACTGCACAAAGCCTCCACTTAAATCCCGCCTCTGATACTTACTAGTTATGTGATCTGTGACCTTTGCTCAGACACTTACGACATTTTCTGTACCTGTTTCCCAGACTGTGCAATTGTCCTTGTAAGGCTAATTTGAGAACTGAACCGGCATCCTAGCAGAGAATGTAAACGCCACTGCTTCCTTAGGGCCTGTGAACCTAGTATCCGATATCAGTCATAAAATTAAAGTCACCAAGTAAGTAATGCTGACCCCTCTCAACAAGGAACCTGTTGCTGGTTGTCGGGTAGGGTGTGGTGCTGGGGGGGGGGAGAAACTGGGGCCTTTGCACATAATAGTGTTCTACCGCTATTATGTATTTTTAAAGACATGCTGAAAGATTCTGCCCCTGCCCACGAAAATGACTCCACGGTAGCCAAACTCAACTTTTCTGACTTTTCAACTTGCTGTCACGCTTCCAATCTTCAGCCCCCCCATACTATTACAATGGTCTCTTTTCCCAATTAATCTCCAGCACAAGCTACCCTAATTAGCAGCAGGAGCCCTTGTCATTTCACCAGTTCCGCACAAGACATCCAGCCAAACACAGGGATAGGGTGCAGGTGCCGTATTCAGTGTAATATCTGCTCCTCCACAAAAGGAAGAAACCCTTTCCGGCATCACCGTTCCCAGTTACTAGAGGGCAAAGTCCACGCCTGCAAGAAGTCTTCTCTCGGAAGCACCTGCATTACTATGTACTGGAACAGGAAACGCACGCCCAGTCTATCAGTCTATCGACTGGAAAAGACCATCCGTGTGAGGGCTCAACAGTTAGCAGTTCGGTACCTTTGAACATAGTCGGGCACTTCCTGTTACCTTTCCCACTCATGGGGCAACCCCACTATAGCCATTAATCCACTATTACAGCTCTATTCACCGCGTTCTGTGGATATGCTTACAGGAGGAGCCTTCCCTTCTGCCCTGAAAGAGTCTTTGGTCGGAAGTTCTGTTTATTAGTTTTGTTAGCTGAGAAGCCACAGTGAAGAAACGCCTTTTTTGTTGTTGTTGCTCTTTGAGACAGGGTCTCACTATGCAGCTATGGCTGTCCTGGGACTCACTACGAGGAGCAGGCTGACCTCGAACTCACAGAGATCCGCCTTGCACTGCCTCCCTAGCGCTGGGATTAAAGGCGTGTGTGGCCTGCGCCTTTCACTTCTTGATGATTAAGCTGTGGAGGGTTGCTTCCCTCAAAAGTAGAACATCAGGTAAGTGAAGTTTCAACCAACTCCTCCCCATTTCCCCACACAGCTCCTTTGAAACTCGGTTCATATACTACCTCTCTTCCTTAAGGGGCTCCGATGATGATCACAGCTTCACCTTGCAGGCATCCTTTCTGGATATCCGAGTCCCATACCCTCCCCAGGCTCGGTTCTCCCCTCCATCCAGGCAGTCCGAAGCACAAGACACTCTCCCTACTCTCTCTGGGACAATACTCCAGCAACCACACGAGGCAAGGGTAACTTACAAAGCCCTGGGTCACTATTTGATGATGGGCAGTAAGGGAGGAAAGGATAAAGGGCAGAGGAAGATCCATCCCTGGAGTGGTGGGGAGGGGGAGCAAACCGAGAAGCCCCACTGCTGGCTCAGACCCTTTCCGGACCAGAGTGACCTAAGGAGGGGATGGATCCACGGTCCGTCTCTTCAGCCATCCTAGGGACCAACTGAGGGGGTATAGGAGATGGTCTCTCAAGGGCAGCACGACTTCCGCCTTGCTGAGGCGTCTCACGTGCGGCTACTTCGACTCCGGCCCCAGCGCGCAAGGGTGCGCGCTTCTCCCGGGAGTCCCGGCTGGGGCCCCGCGCCTCCCTCCTCCCGGGGCTTCCTCTCGGCACTGACCGTCAACCTGAAGGCAGCTCGCAGTCCCGCGCCGCCTGCTGCTGCCCCTACCCCGGGGCCCAGCCTCCAGCGTCCGCGATGGCTCGGGTACCGGGCGCCGCGGCTTGCCGGACTCGGCCTCACATCGGGCGGCGCGCAGGAGAGGCCCATGGAGCTCCAGGCGGTGGCGGCAGCCGCGGCTGCGGGAGCGGCCGCCGCGCGGACTGATGACGCGCGGGCGCCGCGGGGCGGGGCGGGGCGGGGCGCGAGCTGATGACGCGTCAGCGCGCAAGCGCGCCGGGTGAGCTGAGCAGCATGGCGTCGGTGGCGCTGAGCGAGGCTGAGAAAGTCTACATCGTTCATGGCGTGCAGGTAGCGGTGGCGGCCGCGGGTGCAGGGTGCAGGTAGCACTCGGGGAAGAGGGGCGGGGCGGGGGCGGCTGCGTGGCCGAGACCGACGCTCCGAGGCCTCGTGCGGGCTGCGGCGAGCGTGCATCCCGCAATGCCTTGATTTCCACAGCTCTCGGGATGGAGGTTTCCTAGCCCGTCGGGGAACGACGGGCGTCTCCCGAGGCTGCTGCTTAGCGAAGGAATGTCCTTCTGGACCCCGCGCGCTGAGGGGCCTGCGCCTGAGACCCTGTAACCGGAATCCGGGTTGGACGTCTGCACGCATTGCACCGAGATAGACAGACAGACAGACAGACAGACAGACAGACAGATAGATAGATAGATAGAGGCCATGCACCCGAAGGGGGAGATCCCTTCAAAATATAAACTAACAGCGACCCCCTCCCTCTCACCCCCTAAAAGGTGTGTGTGGGGGGGAGAAGGGAATGCAGCTCAGTAGTAGAGTGCTTGCCTAGAATGCACAAGGCTCCTGTCATCCCAGGACTTGGGAAGTGGAGACAAGAGAATCGGGGGTTTAAGACCGGCTTGAGCAATAAAGACCCAGCCTCAAGAAAAATCACACTCACACATAGGTATGGCGTACAGAAGAGTGGGGAGTGATTCGGTTTTCCTTTGGCGGTGCTGAGAATTGAACCTCATGGTCTTGTGCGTGCTAGGAGACATTCTACCACAGCCCCATCCCCAGCCCTCCTTACCCTCCCTTTTTTTTGGAGGGGGTGGGTGGCTGGAACGGGGTCTTTGTATCTTAGGCAGGTGTGGAGCTCATTGTGTAACTGCATCAGTCCTGCCTTGGCAGAAGGCTGGGAACCCTGGCTGGGAAGATTATTATTATTTTTTTCTTCAAAGCAGACTATACACTGGTATAGTTGTTGATTTTCCTGTTTTAGCTTAGATTCCTGGATAGCTATAGTGAATTCCACAATGTGTGGTCATCCCTACTTTTGGACAATCAAGAGAAAGAGGTGAAGAGTGTTAACCTGGAGACTATCTGTTATTCTGCAAGCGTTCTTTCTCCCTGCAGTCGATCAGATTAAGGCAACCTGTTACCATTTAAACTCCTTAATGCAAGTGAAGGCTGTGGCCTTTTTTTTTTTTTTTTTAAACCATATGACATATCGTTATCTTCTGTGCTCCTTATAGAGTAGAAATACCAATATTTAGTCAATAGGTTGTGTAATAAACCCAAAACTCATTAGTTTTTCAGTTCAAGTTTAGGGATAGTGGGGTGTATGCAGAATGGTGTTATGAGGGAATGTTAAAGTGTTCATGGGGGGGGGGGAGATGTTGCTCCCTTTCAGTTTATTTTATTTTATTTTTCTGTCAGAAATGTGGTCTTCGTGATGACTGCATTAAAAGCTGTTGAGATTTAAGTTCTTCAGATTAAATGACCTGAAAGGGGGGAAAATGGGTTTATTTTTATTATGCCTTCAGTCATAATAGCTGTAGTGATCAGTGACTATCTCTGGTGATTGGTCTGCTGTTCTTTTGCCGGACTATATCCTTTCTCAGTGGCCACTTGCTGTCCAGCTTCCCCTCCATCTTGGTGCAATCTGCCCCCCCCACACCTCTGTACCTATAATTTTTCATGGTTTCTTCATTCCCTCTATCACACCATGGCCTAACAACTCTTTGCTTTTATGAGACAGGGTATCACTATGTACCCTTGGCTGTCCTGGAACTCATAGAGATTTACCTGCCTCTGCCTCCTGGGTGCTGGGAATAAAGGTGTGTGCCACCATATTGGGCTAGCCCACCGAATGTTAATTAGATCAGTGATCCAATTCCACTGAGAGAATTGGTCTGGGCCGCTCGTGGTTCATTACATAAAGACCTGTTCTCCCTTTGCGTGGCACGTCTTGGATTACATACCTACCTCTGGCCCGGTTGGAGGAGGGTAGTAACTCAGGAGGCCGCAACTCCAGAGCTATAAGCCCTGTGGGCTTTTCCCTGGTCTGTCTACTTACTGAGTGTTGTAACTGTGGCTTCATAGCCAAACTAGGTCATGGCTATTGATTAGGCTTTCAAAGAGCCTTTCCTCTTGGGGCTCTGTCAAAGCTATTTCATTTCTTTGTTCTTGGCTGTGAGAGGAAGACATAGCTCAGCTGATGTTCTCTGTATTTCTGCTCCTTTTCTGTGTCTTTGCCTTTTAGCTTAATCTTTTTATCTGGTCTTTATTGATAAGATTGAGATGTCAGCCATCAGTTGCTCAGTCTGACCATTCAGGACTAAAACTAGTCCCCAGCACATTTCCTATTTAGCCCTTTGCCCTTTCCATTTACAAACCCATGACACAGAAAGCTTGTGCCCCTGTCTGTGACCTTATCGAGCCACATCTTTTCAAAGGGATGCAGAGCTGCTCAGGAGGATTGGAAAGCGGAAATAACAATTGCCATCTCGTTGTACTTGACATTTCTTGGGCCTGGTCCTGCAGAGCTGGGCCAGATGAGGTGATATTATAGTAAGAGGATACTTAAATCTCAGTTCTCCTCTAAGAAATGCTGAGGTACTGGACATGTCAAAGCAAAGTAGATGGAGAGGTCACCCTCAAGAGCTACTTCTAGTCTGGAACCCTCCTGTGTATGTTGAAGTAGTAACACTGATTGCCTTGTACCACATCTGAGTAGCAGAGTTGTTGTAACAATGTGGGTAATAGCTATGCAAGTCAACGGGTGCAAGCCCAACGTCCAGAAGCCCTCAGTCTCTGCTGAGAAGGGCAGGGTCCATGCCATCATGATGCCCAGAAACTGCTCCCTTCCCTTCCCCTCCAAACTGGAGCCTTCAGTCTTTTAAGTATCCAATATATATAGATTGATCCCTTTGCCCCTCAGAATGTAATTAAATAGATTAAAAACCATGGTATGGCTTTAGGTGCTGGGCCAAGCCACGCAGGTCCAGACAGTTTCCTCAGCACTGTATAAGGAAAACTAGTTTTGTTTTGTTTTGAGACAGGGTTTCTCTCTCTAGCTTTGGAGCCTGTCCTGGAACTCAGTAGACTAGGCTGGCCTCAAACTCACAGAGATCCACCTGTCTCTGCCCCGGCCTAGTTTTTTTGTTAATGGGTTTTTATTATTATTATTATTCCCATTTCAGCGATGCACGGACAGGTTGTTTTATCCTCTTGAGTGTTTTCTGTTTGCTTTCCCTTTGAGGGACTAGAATATATATCATACTTGAGAGGAAAATGTGTAGGTTTCCCAGAAGGTTGAATTATTGACGTCTGGAAAGGCATAGTCAGATGACTATTTTTCTGATACCCATGCAGACCCATGTGGAGGTAACAAGTCACAAGAATGGTTAACAGGCTGAGGCTAGTATGACAGATGGTCACTGTTATGTTGTTAGATGGGAACATATAGCAGTGTTTGGATTTTTTTCTGTTTAACCTCTCAAAATAAATAGGCAGTTAACCTGACAGATTAAAGATAAGTTTTGGTAGCATCAACACCTTTGAGAACCTGATGAAGTTCTCAATTTTAATTATTTGTGTGGTTACATATTGAGGTTTAATAAGGATCCGGAGAAACAAATGCTGAATAGATGTTTATTCAGGGAGAAATAATTTACAACATAGACAGATGGACACCAGCAGGTTCCTGGTCCCAAGGATGCCTCTGGATGTACTTCTGTCCTGGTGCTGCAAGCAAGAGAGCTCCAGGGGCCCCTCCTCAGTCTTAGTTCCCCCAGGTAACGTCTGCCCCTGTTCCCACCCCAATGGGCGTGGTCTGTGCCACAGGTGTGGACAAAGTGAATATCTCACTACAGTTATATGCACACGTGAGTACAGGTGCCCCAGAAGCCAGAAGCATTGGATCCTTTGGAGCTAGAGCTACAGGTGGTTATAAGTCAAGTGACATAGGCACTGGGAACTCTATACAGGTCTAGAAAAGCAGTACGTGTTCTTAGTGGGCTATCTCTCCAGACCCTTTTTATTATTTTTCTTTAAAAAAAAGAAAAAAAAAAAAAACTGGGCAGTGGTGGCACATCATGTATTTAATCCCAGCACTGGGGAAGCAGAGGCAGGACATCTCTGTGAGTTCGAGGCCAGCCTAGTCTACAGAGCTAGTTCCAAGACAGGCTCCAAAGCTACAGAGAAACCCTGCCTTGAAAAACAAATCAACAAGAGGCCTGTTATTGGTGGGAAAGAGATGAGGAGGGGGCATGGAAAGGAACACAGGGCAAATAAAGTGGAGAGGAGTTACCCTGGGCTTATTTGACTTGTAGAGTCATAGTGACAGTCCATACACATGGAAAGGAAAATAAGTAATTAAGAGTAACTAGGATTCAGTGAGCCCTAACTGAAATATAAACAGTTACAAATGGGTTTGGTTTACAAGTGAAAATTGAGGGGGGAGGGCAAGAATGGAGAACATTGTTTCTAACTGTACTCCACTGGAAAGTTTATTTCTACAGGGAGAATAGTTAGCAGCCTTGAAACAGCTTATATACTGAGAATTTATGGAAGTAGGGGATAGATAATGACAGCCAGGTTTCTCCTTATCTCTCCCTCTAGAGAAAAAAAAAAGTTACAAATAAGAAAAATAACTTCTGGAATGAACTGGGCACAATAGATGGGAAATGAGCTATTGATTTGAACTCAAGGCTTCTTGATAGATAGGGAACGAAATGAAGATATATTAATCAGTGTGTGTGTATATTTCAGTTCTGTTTGCTGTGAGGGTTTAGAATCAGCGAACTTAGCTGTTCTTGAGTACTGTATGCCAGTAAGAGGAACCAGGGCTCCTTGGGTAAAAGGCAGGGAAAACTAACCAATGACCTGAACATTTTGTGTTGTCATAAATATGGAAGGCTTGAAAGAGCACAG